CCAGACCACTCTGAACCAGCCGGCCCGTGACTGCGGACACGCCTACTGCTCCCTCCTCACCCCGGACGCCGCAGGGTGGGGCGAGAACAGCGACTCGGGTCAGGGCACCTTCAGCCACACGGGGAAAGGCACCAACGAGCTGGAGGCGCCTCCCGGGAACCACAGCCTGGAGGACTGCGAGACCGACCCCGACGACACCTCGGCCTTCGACTACTCCTCTGTCACCTCCTGCAGCCCCGACGGCACCCTGCGCAGAGACATGACGGGCAGCAACAGCGGGGAGGATGAGGATGAGGAGGAGGACAGTCAGGTGCCGGTGCTGTTGAAGCCCTCATACAGCCAGCAGCATCAGCAGCATCAGCATCAGCAGCATCAGCAGCATCAGCATCAGCATCAGCAGCAGCAGCATCAGCAGCAGCAGCAGCAGCAGCAACAGCAGCAACAGTCCAGAGAAGCTCCCAGAGAGAGGACTGTGTGTTTGAGGTGGCAGATTCCCAGATTGACCCCTCATCCTCCTCTGAGGAAGACAGCGGGCTCGTGTGTGGACGGGCTGACGCCGTGTCTCGTCGGCTCCTACGGGAAGAGGCTGGTCAACGTCAGGAAAGGGTCACCGCCTCTACACCCGAAAAGTGCCTTCAGGCCCATCTGGGACGACCCGTCCAAACAGGTATCTCAGTTGTTATTACACAAACATATACGAGGTTTATTGTCTCAGGCTGAGACATAAAAACTTTGAGTTGTCCTCCTCACTTCTCCTGATAATAAAACATGTCCTTAGATCTTTACACTGGCTTCCATGAACTGTCAGAACTAAAGCTGCAACTAATTCATTATTGTCTTGTTTATAAATGTCAGTAAATTGTTTAAAAAAAAAAGAAGCCTATTTTAATTTACCACAACCCAAAGAGAAGTTTGCAAAAAGTCTTATTCTATTTGACCATCAGTCTAAAACCCAAAGACACCCATGATACAATCCTCCCATTTGAGAAGCTGGAACCAGCAAAGTTCAGCATAATGGAATAACCCATTATCAGAATAGTCGACAATTATATTTATGTTAATAGTTGAAGCTCGATTCAGAACTGATTCAGCTTCTCTCCACAGCACCTTTGACCCACATATATAAATAAAGTTTTTCTTGCCAGAATTAAATAACACCAGTCTGGATTAGTTACTGAAGTAACTAAACTGAAAAGTAAAAAACACTGGATCCTACACTTTTTTTTTTTTGCAGGTTTTTTGTAACAAATCACAGGCTTGTAAAAATTATTTTCATGTGAAAGAAAAGGCAAAGCCCCTTTAATTTAAGGCTTGACAGAACATTGTTCGACTCTGTCTCCAAAATAAACCCATGTAATTAGTCTTAAATCCTGTGATGTCATCATTTCCTGACGACTCTCCGTGTATCCACATCACCTCATGAGCCAGGTTGACGCAGCTCCAGAGAAAGACAACAGACAAGGCTTCATCCCGATTCAAGCCGCGGCGAGGCAGAGCTATCAGAGCTTCAACCCGAGCAGAGAGAATCTAAGGTGGGTAGGACGGTGATGACACTTTACAGTAATTACAGACAGGATGCTGATGCTGCAAACCCCCCCCCCCCCATAAAAAAACAACAGTGTTTGATCAATGACAACACCTGGTGATCACCTGTCTCTCTTCAGACCAGGCCTGGCTCAGCAGCGGGGTACACACGCAGCAGCGGTCAGCAGTGGAGGATTGTGGGAAGACAGCGAGGACAGCGAGGGACCCTGCAGCACTGTTTGACCCCCGCCCCCCTCCCCCACCCACACACACACGCACACACACGCACACACACACAACACAACTGCATGAATGACGAAGAGAACATGGATTTTTTTCCTGATTTTCTGATGAAGCTACAGCTTGTGTTAAGACGGTTCTTCAGGGTCACACTCCGACATGTTGGACAAAAAAACCCCACAGCATTATGGGGGATTTATGTCCAAAAAATAAACAAACAATTATCAACATGTGAGAAAAAAACTTCTCTAAGCCCAGTAGGCTTACTGAAGCTTTTCTTTCTTGACTTACATTTGAAAAATCCCATTTTAATTTCCAGACCATATTTTTTTAACCAGAGATGTGGATGACATCATATCAATATGTAGCTTAAGAACTAACAAATGTAACTTTTAATAGGTTTAAGCACTTGATTTTAATATTGTTACTGTGCTGTTGCTGGTGATAATGCTAAGCTAACAAGGTGCTAGCTGTAGTTTCAAAATAAGTATAATAATATCTTATCTTTTCAACTTTGCTACAACAGCTGAGATTTACAGAAACTGAAAATAAAAACAAGAGAAATGAGTAGTTCAGTACAAAATAAGACTGGGTGATTTATTAATCTCATCAAGACCATTAATACAAAGCAGTTAAAAGGCCACATACCATCAAATAAACCGACTGCTGGATCAAGCTGTTACAGTGCCACCGGAGGAAAACCAGTCTGTTAATCTGTTGGGGGCTGAGGGGTCTTTAAAAAAAAAACAAAAAAACAACAACAACAAACAAACAAAACAAAAACTTGGCAAAACGAACCCCAACAATACTGACTTGGGAAACTTGGGAAATGGACAGAACACGAGCGAAGACAGTGAAGTGATGCGACTTCAGCTGTCCCTTAAAAAAAAGAAAGAAAAAAATCCTCCAAAACTCCCCTCTCGCCTCGAGATTAGGAGGGCTCTGTTTTTGGTTTTTTGTTTTCCCCAGAGCATAAAGAAAAAAAAAAAAAAAGAGGGGGGCACGAGTGATCTTTAAAAACGTGCTGAGCTCCAGCTTGTAGCGATCAGACGTCCTCAGGCGTTTCTGCGTCTGTTACAAACGTCGAGGGGAATCGGAGTGAGATGGTAAGACTCGTGTTTTTCTTTTCTTTTTTTCTGCCCTGATCCGTGTAGAAAGTGAGTTTAACAGCTGCATAGGACCAATGCATTTACAAACATGACCTATAACAACCGCGGCTCGTCAACAGTACAGCCTAAAGTGCACAAAGTGTGTTTCTCAGAAGAAAAAAAAAAAATAAGAAGAAGAAAGAAAAAGTCCAATTCTTCACTTCGCTCAAATCCTTGCAAACTGAATATACGTCTCGATATATTCAACTGCAACTTCAATACAATTCCAACCTCTTGTTTAATGAGTGTTAGCATTAAAAAGTCTTTGAAAAGGAGAAAAGGCAATTAGTAGGATGTACAAAGTGAAGCACACGTCTAAGTAAGTGCTTGGCATATTCAACTGTATATTTTTTCTTTTTTTTTTTTTTTTAATTGCTTTAAAACAGCTAGGGGGGGGGGGGGGATGGCTTTCCTCAGTTAATACTCCCAGTGTTTCAACTGGAGATTGTCTGTAAGTAAGTTAGTGACAGTGACCTGTTTTTTTTTTCTGTTTTATTTTTTATTTTTTTTTATTTTATTTTTTAAAATTTTTAATCCGACTGTAGCAGCATTGGATTATTAGGCAATATTCGACTGAACAGATGCGGATGAGGGTACAATACAACAGGGGGGGAAAAAAAAAACTTGTCACTTTATACAAATTATTTAGTTAGTGTATACATGTTATATATACACAGTATCCACAAACATGTACAATTTCATAGTGTATAGCTTTGTTCTAAACATTACATAGGCAACTTTATTTTTTAGCATTTTAGACACCATTTGCTTATTTCTGTAAAGTAGAAAACAAAATAAAAAGGCACATCTGAGCATGATGCATGGATTATTTCAGTCTTTTCCAAAGTGAAACAAAATCGTTTCAAGCAGGAAAAAAAAAGAACGAGGGAGAGATAAAGAAGAAGAAGAAGAAGAAGAAGAAGTTGGGTTAAAAAGTTCCCCTTTTTCCATGGGGTTTTTTTTTTCTTTTAATAATAGTTATTTGGGGGCAGCCACTGGGGGGCGCTGACCCAGCTTTGGTGGGAGGTTGCGTGCTTCCAGTGCTGAGTTTGAATACCAATGAAGAAAAAGTTGGTCATGAGGGCTTTAGGAGAAGAGCACAGTGTCAGACAGCAGCGCACGTCAATACGGGGATCAGTTAAGACATCAGCTTTTTTTGAAGAAGTGGGAGACAGAAAAACTTTTTCTCCCCCCCCCCCTCTCTCTCTCTTCGTCCTGGATCGGTGCTGTTTGATATCGTGGCCGACTTCTCCCTCTGTCGCACACCGCAGAGGGATCATCCGTCTAGTCCAAACCTGCTGACTTTGCCCAAGCTTGATGTGCAAAAAAAAAAAACAATAATAATAATAATGGAGTCCCCCCCCTCTCTCTCTTCGTCCTGGATCGGTGCTGTTTGATATCGTGGCCGACTTCTCCCTCTGTCGCACACCGCAGAGGGATCATCCGTCTAGTCCAAACCTGCTGACTTTGCCCAAGCTTGATGTGCAAAAAAAAAAAACAATAATAATAATAATGGAGTGTTCTTGGCTCTCTCTTTTTCTTTTTCCTCCCAATGCGGGGCTGAGAGGACTGGAGCCTGGGGGTCAGAGGTCACCGCTGTTGGATTTTTAAAAGGCAACGTTTTGTGGCTGCGGAGAAGCCTGTCTTCAGACAAACCCCCCCACCCCAAAAAAAAAAAAAACTAAACAAACAAACAATCAGACAGTTTGACTCGCGTCTTTACAGTCACAGTGTACAGTTGAGATACAAGGTGGGGGATTCAGTGTCGCCTCCTGTTTGCGTTTCTTTTAATGTCACATTTGTTTAAAAAAAAAAAAAGAAAAAAAGAAAAAGAAAAAAAGAAAATCCCTTATCCCCCTGCATAAAATAAGACTTTGGCAACTGTTTGTTTTCAGTTAGTAGGAAACACAAGTCAATGGAAATGTCCGCTGCTCACACCCACCGTGACAGAGCTACGTCTACGTTGATCGTTGAGGAGGAGAGAGGTTGTAAAAATCTGTGAGCTGCAGCAGGACTCCAGATGATGTCAATGCCCAAAGAAACAAAGCATGACAGTTAAGGCTACAAAGTCCAAGCCCNATGGAGGAGTGGGACGTGGGGTAATCGTGAGTTAAGTGTTTGAGGGGTGAGAACTTTCATCAGGAACAAACATTCTCGCTCCGTACAGCACAGACAGACAAACACTCAGCTCCTTGTTGTTTATTGGCTGGCACACCGGTGGTGGTTTCTCATTGGCACAGAGGGTTTACGATGAAGGCGGAGCTACTGATCCCCTGAGAGGCACAGCTGGGGTGTGACTGGTCGATGCAGAGGGAGGGCGGGTGGAGTTAAGAGTACGTGGAGCAGTGTTATTCTTTCTGATCAGTAGCTTTGAGTCCACTGTGTCGTAGTTTGCAGGAGACAGTTTGAAGTTTGCATTTCAGGGTGTTTAAAAATAGAACGGAGCAGGCTCACTGGCTGCTGTCGGTGTTCTCCACCAATGAGAGGCCTTGTAGCGGCGGCTGCAGCAGCTCCCTTTTGTATGTCTTTGGTGGGAGTTTGGGGAGTTGCGGGCTGGAGTTGTGGCGAGGCGGGACAGGTGGAGCGGTGATGGAAACAGGTAGCGGGCAGAGGCTGTTCTGGCTGGCGCTGAGCGGACAGCTCCGCCTGGGGACGCGTGGCGACGGCGTGCTGGGCGGGGTGTTGGGGGAGCTGGGGGAGCTGCTGAAGTCCCAGTGGTATCGGCCCACGGGGGAAGGCTGCAGGGGCGGGTAGTTGATGAAGATCTCCGGGGGCCGCTGGGGCACCGGGGGAGGCGTGTCGGGCAGAGGGTCGCGGGGCGGCGGAGGAGGGGGGCTGGGCAGGGGGCCGTCCATGGGGGGGCCGTTGTAGACCGGCGGGGGGGGCGGGGTGGGGCGCCCTCAGGGGGGGGGCCGTTGTAGACCGGCGGGCGAGGCTGGTTCCTGGGAGGAGGAGGGGGCTGCCGGGGAGGAATGGCTGGAGGGCTGTCGGACATGGTGCTCAGCTGAAACACAGAGAGAGAGTGAGAGTGTATGATGCGGCGCAGAGCGGAGGGTCCCAACATGGAGGCCGGGAGCCCCACAAACAGATGATCAACAGAAGAAGAAGGCAGAGAAAACATGTGTCACGTAAAGTTATACTTATTTTATTAAACGCCCCTGTAATCTCAGCTTCTTTTAAGATTTATTTAGCAAAATATTTTTAATCATTATCGTTTTTAAATGTTAAAAATAAACCCCTTAAATAAATCTTTTCTCCAAGTCGTCCCCTCAAACATTAGCTTTCACACTCCTGTGTACTCGGTAGTATTTTTTATAATTCTGTACTAAAGTCTCTTAACAATTTGCACTGAGCAGAAATACTGTCACGTTAAATCCTGTCAAACGGAGGTAGATTGTTGTATTTATTTGTATAATGGCGAGAAACGAATCACTGCTCTTACTTTGGCTTCAGACATTGCATCTTTCCTTCGTGGTGGCAGAGGTGGAGGCTTGAGCTGCTCGTCCCCGAGCTGGTGGAGGCTCCCGCAAGACACAGACTGGAACTCTGGGAAAAAAAAAAGAATAGAAAAGAAAAGACGCTCATTGAGTTAATGAATGAAAGATCCACAGCTGAAACAGAAAACAACAAGGAACAAACTGCAAAAATAAAAAACAAACTCCACACTCACTTGTCGGTGGCAGAATGACTGAAACGAATATGGGGTTACTTCCTGTAAACGGAGGGAAAAAGATCAAGATTTAATTTCACAAAAAGGTGCAAGTTTTACCTTTTACATTAGTGCTCTGAACACAAACACAACACAGTGTCTCTCCATTAAGCCACAGTTAAAGAATTATTATTATTAGTTGTAATAATAAAATTCAAATGAAGTAGGGCATCTTAGGATTTAAATGCACAGACCATGTAATTCAAACTTCCCATATCCAACATTTATTGTCTAATTAAATCGAGAAATGCCCCAAAAAAGAGTAAAAAAAACCCCAAAACACACAAAACAAAACAAAAAAAAACAGTGAAGCTGAATTGAAAGTCATGTAAATACACTGATGTTTGGAAACTAAGAAACTTCCCCTGTAAAAACATTGTTTTTACAGGGGAAGTTTCTTAGCTGAACTCACCGCCGTAGGAGTTGCTGAGGTCGGGCTCCATGAAGACTGAGCTGAGGTCAGAGGAGGCTGACTGCGGAGGGGTCGGCGTGTTCGGAGAGGTGGGCACCGAGGCCGACGCCGGTATCTCCGGCTCGGTCTCGGCGATGCTCCGGAAGGTGATCTTGTGTGGGGGCTCCCTCTCCAGGGGGACGGGGTGGCCCTTCAGGGTGCCAGAGGTAGACGTTCGTACAGGCCGGATCCCCGGGGATTTCAGATTGTACATGGTCTTCCTGGGCTACAGGAGGAAAAACAGAGAGTTCACCATCAGAACCGATTCTGTCTTTCCCCGAGGAGGAAATACTCACTATTTCTGGTCCCTATGGAAGCTACTACTAAATGAGAGTACTGAAGTCGGTGCCATCAAACGGCAAAACAATTTCACACAGAAACAGAGACTGCAGTCCAACGCGGCTTTCACTCATCATCAAGGATCTAAATAATGTTTTTCCCTCTCACCTGCAGTAAATGTGAATTCGAGACTAAAACAAGACAAGGAATTGAAACTGAAACGGCACCAAACATGAACGTCACTAAACACTTACAAATCGAGGAGCCTGCCTGCAGTTCCGTGGCTCAATATCCATAGACATTTTGAACAGGTAGTCAGCAAACTCCTTCTCACTTCTGTTGCCCATCGGGTTCAGGTTCTCAAAGAACCGCTGTGCAACAACAACAACAACAACAACAACGACAAGTTTATAGTTCAGGATCCGTGTAAATGTGTGTGTCAAGCGACAGCAGCGAGACAAACGTGTGAGCGAGCTCTCACCCTGACGTCGTGCTCCACCTTCAGACAGTACGGCTGGTTCTGATACTGCTGGATCTCTCCCGTGATTTCAGCCACTTTCCTCCTCTTGCTGAAGTTGATCAGCTCCTTGCCGTGGCGTTTGAGGAAGTCCGGGTTGCCTTCCTCCGTCTTCAAGATGTTGGTTAGATAGATACCTGGGGGATCAAGAAAAAACAAAAGCTTTCTAATAAATAATGGTGAATCTAAATGTACAGGACGGTTATATAGAAATATTTTGTGTCAGATCGTTTCATACTTCACTTGTCGTGTGTCTGGAGCAACACTGTGGATGACTTACCAAAGAAAGGCACACAAGGTGGGTTTATTGACTTGAGTTTAGCCAAGTATTTCTTAAAATGGTCTTGGCTCAGTTCGACAGCTTCTTCCAGGATTTTCTTCTTCCTCTCTGGTATTGCCTGCGGGCAGAGGAGGTTCAGCTTTAGATTGGATGCTTACATCAAAGTGACAAACAGCAGAGGTTTCCCAAAAAAAAGACTGTCGTTCCAGTGAATTTTCTCAGCCAGGCTCGGCACCATATGGACAGAGTCTTCGTCCTCGGGGCTTGTGCATTATACAACAGCCGAGCAGGAAACGCAAGCTCACAAAATCAGAGTCACATTTAGAATCGTATCAGAGTCTCTGTTTGCATATCTGTTTTAGATTCTCGTGTAAAGTCTTTCAGTCAGGCGCCGCAGTTCGGCCTGAAGGACATGTTGGTTTATCAGTCAACACTTTGATCCAGAAGGAAATAATTTAACAACTGTTGGACATTTTTCAGACACTTAAAGTCAAGGCAGTATGAATCCTGACTAAGTAGTGACCGATCAGCTTCCCCCGAGTGATATGCTATGATAAACGATGTCAGCACGCTCTGTACGGTGGCCGTTTTAGGACATTTTCAGACTCAGCTTGTGTTGTCAGACTTAGTTTCATCCGTCCAAGCCGAGTTTGCTGTGTCAGAATGTTTACATGCTAACATTAGCATGTTATTATGCAAACATTATTATGACTCCTAAATATGATCCACAGGTCGGACTAATGAAGCTTGAGCTTTGCCAGTGTCGAGCTGAGGTCGACAAGCTGAGCCTGTTTTTGTCCTAAAATAGCCACCACATATAAAATGATAAAACATGGACTTTCCTCTGGTGCCATCATTAGGTCAAATAAAGTTAATTTTTCTTTTCCAACTATTAGCAAGGATGTAAAAATAGCAATGTTGTCTCTCCATCTCTCATCCATTTAATCTTAATTTTATTTTGTGGTGTGTAATGAGCAGCTTCAGCTTCACGGGACACTGTGGCTCTGGTCTTTTGATTAACGAGTCTTTGTTGTTTATCTTTTGGGGCATTTTGTCTTAATCGTTCCAGTCGTAAAAGGGGGGTAAACTACCGGTTTGTTTCTGGTGAAAATACAGTCTGCAACCTGCCGATTGTTCGACTCACCTCAAAGGTGTGGTCGAGCCTGTAGACTGGGACAGAGTTGATGGCGCTGACCACCTCCAGCACACCGTTAAAGTTGTTGAGCTCCTGGAAAACCTGCAGAATCTCTATGACCCGCGATAACACTGCCACCCTCTCCTCCAGGTTCATCGTCTCTACAATACACCTGAGAACGACACACACACACACAGTTACAGAAACGTCTTCTGAAGCCAGGTCTCTAAAACCAATGTTGGCTTTTCTTGTGAATGAAATGTTCGAATCCTCAGACTCACTTCTCGAACCACAGTGTGAGGTTTGTGGTGTGACGGATCATACGGAGCAAGTTTGGCGAGTTCTTCTCTTTGTCCTCTTTGGTCCAGACGCTGCCGACGAGCTCGGACGGCCGGACCGCTCTGTGGAAGAAGCAGGGTTTTCATTTTTTCATACAGGCAACAGCAGAGGGATACCAACAATCTGATCGTAACCTGTAAATATAAACTCCGACAGATCTTATTTATCTGTGTGAACAAACCTGCCGACAGTCAAATCACAAGCCTGCCTCTCTGCCCTCCAAGCCTTCGTCCACTCACCTGTAGAGCTCCGACTCGAGCAGCGTCAGCTGGCGGGCGATCTCTATGGGGTGAAGGGTCATGAGCTCAAACATGTCCACTTGTCCTGCTCTGCAGATGTGCCACTCGATGGGAGGAGGCGGGCTCTCGAAGGTGATGTTGTGACTGACGCCGTTCGACTGCGTCTGCAGCTTCCTCTTGATGATCTTGTTGATGGACTCGACCCACTTTCTCATTGACTTGCCTGAAAACAGAAACAGAGCAGAGTGAGCACCAACACACACACAGGATTTAATGGTCTTAATTCTGATGAGGGCCACACTAATAGCACAGGTACACTTTGTGCAATCTCAACCTGCAAACTCTTTTCTTAAAACTGATGCTTGGACCAAATTGTAACTTTCACTTTGAACAGCCTCTCTGTTTATCTAAAGCATCATACTGGTTGTTTCTCATGTGTGTGGCCTGCTGTACAAGAAGAGATGTGCTTTCAATGATGCTGGTATGGATCACTAATCAAATACTTTTTTGCAGTTTTTGCTTTGTCATAAGAAAAGATGTCATGAGAGGCAAAGGGAAGTTTTAATACTGATACATCCCGCGTCCAGCTCTGACCTCTCAGTTGAATTTTGCTGGTGATGTATTCCTCCAGTCGACTTCTCAGCTCCGGATCGTTCTCAAAGTCGTAGAAATGATGTTCGACCCACTGACGGAAAACGTTGAGAACCCTGCGAGACGAACACACGTTTCATTATTGACTGACTATATGTTTCGTTCCTCCTCGTGTAGTTACCGACTTTCAACTGTCCGTGAGAAAAATTCAGACAACTGAAATCTGTCTGAATATGAGCTGAAAATATTTCTCCATTTATGCACATTGATTCAGTAACAAAACAGGAAACAACCCCCCCCCCCCCCCCCCCCCATACACATTTTTACTGTTTCACCACACTGTTTTTTTTTTTTAAACATTTCTGTTTTTATTGGACAGTTGGTGGTGAAGAGGCAGACAGGAACACGAGGGGATAAGAGATTCCCGGACAAAGACGTCGGTAAAACAGAGACATTCAGCAAACATGGTTGAACAGTTCTTGGCTGGTGCCCAGTGTGTATTCCTCACGCTGGTGGTCAGTTAACATTTTCAAAGAGTGGAAACTTAAAAATAGCAGAGACACAGCATTTCTGTGCTTTAAAGGACAAATGTCACACTTTAAGAGGTTTTTTTTTTTTTTTTTTTTTTAAAACCTACTTTGAGTGTCCTGGTTCTAAAATAAACGGCTGGACGCCATCACAATGTTTACCTAACAACAGACCACCCAAACCGCCTGACAGGCCGCTATAAATCCTTTTCCCAATCTGCAAACAAATCCTTGATTATTGGTGTTTTTCATGTACATTTGTTGCCTAAGGCATGTGCTCAAAAACGTTAACAAACCTTTTTGAATATTTTTATCTGCTGACTCACTTCTCTGTTTTTTTTTTTTTAAGAAAAATACTGTTAATTCAGAGGATGTAATGTAAAGTATGTGTGACCACAGGACTGGTTCCTACTCCTCTCAATGAGAAACTAACAACCTCATTGTGTTTTAACTGTTTCTGTGACTAAAGTTTAAAGGATTTTATTGCAGCTGCCCTTCACTACAGTCTGATACTGAGACACTCGCAGTTTTTAAATGGTACTTAACAGACTATTCCTGACACTGTTGCTCCTTATAAGGATAGAAAGTCTCACACAAAAGTAATTCTGTGGCTCAGTGAGAACATTCAGGCCTTAACAGGAGAGTGTAAAAGAGCCAAACAACAACACAAGACAAAGACACACGAAATCTTTGCGGCATTTTAAAGCCCTTGTTAGGAAATAAAAGAAAGCAGTTCAAGATGCTGTAACACGCTTATAAAGTTTATCAGCAAGTTTAGAGACATCGCAAAGGAGCGGAGGCTGCACAAATATCAGTAACCAATGGACTAATATCTACAGAATATTAGGGTAAAAGTTTGACTTGAGTCGTCGCAGACATTAGTCCATCATTTAAAGCTGCGATTTAAGATGAGCACATTAAATTAAGGGTCTGCTGAGAAATAAAGCAGCTCATCTCCTGCCTCGATTAAGAAGAAAAAAAAAAGTTTTATCTTGTGGTGTCTTTTTTTGTCGTTTATGACTTTGATGTTTCACTTGCTTTTTGTGGCACTAAACAAATGTATTCCTTGGAATAGCATTCCTAATCACCACAAGTCTTCGTCAGTGCTTCTGGACCAACATGTTTGTCAAAGAAAATAGACAAACTCAGACATTACTTTCCTTCCCTTGGTTTGTGCAGTGTTCCTTGAATGTTTTTGGAGAATCATTTCCCTGTCCTGTTGCTGTTATTTCCTTTAGTTCGTACTATTCGTGCAGCCGCTGCTCTTTCTCTTTGGGGAGTTCACACAGGAGCGATCAGCTGAGGCAGCATCACCTCTGATTGGACAGCTGTCATACATACCTGAGTTGGACCGGCTGCACGTACTCCTTCCTGAACCTCTGGAGCTCGGCCGCCATCGGCTGATCACCGTTCCAGAGAGCCTGTCGGTCCTCCTCAGTGGGTTCTGGCTCAGGGATGTCAATCCTGAGAGGAAACAACAATCAGACGTGCGATATTTCAAGATGTCAGGGCAGCCACAATATGGAGTCACTGATAAATATTTGTCTGAAAAGTGTCCAGGTGAAGATGATTATCCGTACAGTTCAGATAGTAGTTCAATAAACAACGGCTGAATAAAGATGCAGGTGAGAGGACAGGCGTTCTGGCTAAAGCATACCTGTCTATCAGCAGGGTGAGAAGCTCCTGCGGTTTGCAGAATGATCGGTATGTGGTAAGAAACGTGCGGACAAAGTTAGGATCTACAAACAGATGAGAAAGATTAGATAACACAGACCATCGGCATCACAATGTATATCTTTGCAAAATAACTTCTTCGCCAAATTGAACTGAAATATGTCAAATGTCTCTCTACGGGTCGATGTCCTGCAGCATCTTACCAGCATACATGTGGTAGGTGAGCCGCTCTATGAGCTTGCCCACTGTGCCGGCCTTAATGATGGGGATGCCTGTTTTGCTCTGCACTTTGTCCTCAAACACTATATTCTCCTCAGAGTCCTGCACGGCAAAGCGGTAAACCTCCGGGGAGGGCAGTCTTAGAGGATGCGCCTGTTCCTCGTGCTGCAGCACCGTGTCCAACATGCGATCCAAAGTGGAGCGGTACTGCAGAGTCACCAGCGCCGCCATCCACGCTGCTTTCTCCTCTGCTGTCCGTGCACAGAAAACTGCACAATTTTCATCTTTGCCTATCAGTTCAAAGGCGTGCCGCAGCTCTGACGAGTCCTCGCGGTCCACGATGCGAATCTTCCTCAGCACAAACTTCTCCTTCAGGCGGTACTCCGCCCCGCTGCCCGACCCCGGGAGCCGTGAGCTCTGGTTGGCCTTGCAGCTGATCATAAGGCCATCGAACAGGAAGTTGTGTCTCTCGTGCTTGGCGCCCGCTCGTAAAAGCGGCCCCTCCAGGATGAACTCACTGCAGCACTGACCGATGTCTTTGCCCTCCCAGCCGTCGATGCTTTTCTGGATCTCGTTCATGCGTTTGATGGCGAGTTGTTTGCTACGAACCTGCCTGCTGTACAGGCGGTACATGGGCTCACTGTGAGGGGGGAATAAAGTGTGAAGTCAGAAAACTCAAGAGCTCAATGCATAAATTAAACTTTAAAGGTCCCATATTTTACGCCTTTACAGTGTTAATATCCATGAGAAGATATATTTGTGGTTTTAAGAACCAAAAACCATCTCAGTGTAGTTTTACATCTCCTCTCTCAGTCAGCCAATCAGAAGAGAGGCTCAGAGTCTCTCTTCTGATTGGCTGATCCAATAAAAATATAGCAGATTTCAGGTAAACACTCAGAGAAACCAAATCCTGCAAGGGTGGGCGATGGGTGCAGGTGGGCGGGGCTTGGGGCATCACTGAAGGAGGTGACTGCTTTGTTGTGACATCACAAAGTTACAGAAGTCCTGACGGCTCGTTTCAAGGCTCAGTTTCTGAATACAGGCTGTGTGTACTTCTCTGTGGACTGAGGCTTTGATACTTTCACAGTATTAATATAGAAGCTAGACCTGATCTATAATCAAACAACACATGGAAATCTACCTTTATACAATATGGGACCTTTAAACCACTGAAGTATCACTACTTCGCAAGGATGTGCAAAGCAGGGTCTGCACCTCTGCTACTGCATTTATGACTGAACTCTAAACAAACTTTAGCTTATGTGGTGAATGGGGATTGACTAAATGAATTCTTATATGTATATAAATACTAGCAGAGCAGTTGTACCCAGGTTTACGGCGAGGCTGGTGTTTGGCATAGATGCGCTCCACGCTACACTGAAGGTTGAGCAGCGCTGTGATCGCCTGCTTCAGACATTCTCTGTCATCTTGGTCTTCACTGCGCTCCTGAAGTTGCTGTTATAAAAAAACAAAACAAACAAAACATAATAATATAATATAAAACATTAGTCTATAGATGTTTTTCACAGCAGATATTTTGACATGTCATAGTAGGTGTAATTAAACGAGCCATCGTTAATGTTTATCAGTAACACCTGCGCTGTCCACTGTGTTCTCTATAGGAAAGCTGCATCACAACAACACAGGTGAGATGTGACTACAGTGTTGGATTTCAGGCCAGTTACATTTTAACAGCACATACAGAAACAAAGCTACAGTGTGAGTTTAATGTGGCCAAACTAAAGACAAATTATTTTTAGAGGATATTCAGAGACTTATGATATGGCTAAGAGCTAATCAACAATCAATAGGCCACATTGTTTCTTCCTGGAGCAATGTCTGCAGAGGATTTTCTAACCAACATTTTGACTCTGGCATGATGGTGCCACGTTTATCATTAACCAATAACTAAGAATGTGTTCAACAATTAAAAAAAAAAGAAGTTATTATTCCCACAGAAAAACTGAAGCCATAGGAAAAACCAATCGTATCTTTGACTGGGACTGTGCAGGTGTCAGGACGTACCTGTAATAGCTCAAAGTAGTGCATACAGTGGTATACTGGGACCATCATCAGCTGGGGGAGGACATACTGGACTGCTTCTTTGAATCCTTCTGCCACTGACTGGAGACATAAAGACACATCAGACCAGTCAGCGATGCATCAGCATGAAGAAATTATGAAACAGATTTAAACCAACCAGCATGTGATTGAAGAGAGGACCGTACTCATTTTGAGAAAAAGTCCCCACTCATGCATTTCCTGCTTAGCAAAGATCCAAGCCAAAGTTTGATTTGTATAAAAAAGTGGATTTTTTTCCCTCCTCCAACCCTAATCCAAATCTGTCTAAGGCCTGTGTTTTGTTCCCCAAGTGGAAGCCATCGTAAAGATGTACGTAGTCATATTCACGTCTTCAAAGCCGGTGAGTAAAATGTGATTACAACTGACAGATATAATGTTTCCCAGACTGTAAAATTACCACAAAGTACAACAATTCAGAACTGAAAAAGAACAATACAGCAAAAAAAAAAAATCACAAACAGTTGACAGGAGACAGCTGTGAAGACAAGCACACCCAGAATGTGTATGTTTCAGTTTATAAACCGGGGCTGAATTAGATCAGGCAAGAGGCTGCAGGGTGACGAGTGATGGAGGGAGGGAGGGAGCAGCGGCTGACCGAGTGAGGCTGCAGTGTAACCGGAGAGGGGGCCGTCATAGTATCCATTTAAATCTCCTGTTCCCCTGACAGACGATTCAGAATCAATATGCTAGTACTCAGACTCCACAGCAGCGGCCACGGTGTCTGCGTGGGGAGGGGAGGCGAGGGGAGGCGAGGGGAGGCGAGGGGAGCAGGAGGGTCTGCGTGCATGGAAAAGAAAGCATCATCATCTGCCTGACGCACACTGACGGACAGCCGGGGAACAATGACCTAAGTTTAGATCATGTTATTGATATGACCGAGTTAGTATGTACAGTACAGTATAAATCATTTTTACAATTAATTTATATTTAGTCTAAAAAGACAGCGGGAACATTTCACTCTGCTCTAATGTCCCGGCTTTAAATCTTCCTGTGGTTGTGATTATATTCGGGACATGACATTTAAATGGAACATGAGAAACCTGGCTATTCATATTCCTGTATGCATGATCATAACAGTGTCCAGGCCTCCGATCATCTCTCTTGATTCCTCAACATCTTATTTCTGTGCTGACCAAGCGTCCCTTTATTATATCAATATATTATTATTGTTTATCCTTTATTCCCTTTATCGTCAGTACATCTTTCAGCATCACACACAGTGCAGTGCATTCCTGTTTTATAGGCTCCAGTTTAAAGTGAAAGTGGAGGATCTTTCTTTTACTTTTGTCCAGTTAAATCTTTTTTTGTTTATTTAGAACTAAAAAAATGAATTAACAATTATCAATTAACTGACCAAAATAATCAATAATCAAACTAAGGATTAGTCTCAGCTGTTCAGTTACTTTGTCCAATATTCATCTTATTAACAGTTGCTCTTCATTTATCTTATAGACACATTTACTGCCATTTTTAATACAGTTTAATGTGTAAAATAAATAAATAATTAAATATATTTGTCACAGGTTCAATTGTTTATTTTGAAAATGAATATATAAACTCTGTTTGGAGCTTCAGCAGCATTTCAATGTGTTCTCATATTAATGTGAGGGGCGACACACACATCTGGTTTGAGCAGGTAAACTGGAGATGAGGATGTTTATACTGTGATTGCATAACCTGTAAAAACAAAAATATTTTTTCTTAGCATCACAAGTCTCTACAGGTGCATGCATCATCATCATCATCATCATCATCATCATCATCATCATCATCATCATCATCATCATCATCATCGCTGTGGCAGCCTAAATATAAACAGTGCTGTAAGAAAAAGGAACAGAATGACTATGAGAACAACATGTTGAGGTTGAGGTAGAGAGCTGCTTCAACAGTCTTTTGCCATCTTAATTCACAGCTTATTTTCAACATGAAATGCGTCTTGGGCCACCCGCCCCCCTCCCCGTCTTCTTCGCCTCCTCCTCCTCCTCGCCAGGAGAAAAATGGCCTGCAGTGTGGCTGCCTGTTCTATTTTTAAAAGGCGATGTAATTTACCCACAATACCAGACGCTGCAGAGTGCAGGGGCTGAGTGCTCGAGAGACACATCTATCTGACAGAGAGGGGAGGGAGGGAGAAAGTCAAGAAGGATGGAGTGAGAAAGATGAAGCGCATGCAACGAGACAAAAGCAGAAGGTAGAGCAGAGGCAGCAGCGACGCCACCGCCGACGGTTCAATCCCCATCGCAAGAAACGCTCTCATATGTTACACATTTAAACCCAGTGCTGTTGATTCAAAGTGTCCGTGTTAAAGGTTCATGTTGTTCAAAGGAGGTGGAGAGAAGAGGAACCGAACCTCCAGCCGCTCAGTGATGAAACACAAAGTGAGAGATTCTAAAATAAGATTAGACCACGGTGCAGAAACGAGGCAGCAGCAGTTTGATAAAAGGGGTGGAAGGTGTTTGTGTGGGGGTGGGGGGGGGGCAGTTTAAGAAGGGAGGCTGAACCATTACACCATCTGCCCCTGGGACTGCTGATGATCAAAACACACACATACAAAATCCTGTGCCTGCACACACTGGTGGTACAGTGGCTGAGCTAAACGAATTTTGCAAAGCAACATCGTAAACACCACGTTTTTTTTTGTTTTGTTTTTGTTTGGTTCTTTTACCAGGTCCAATCAGAATACAATAATAATCAACTGATTGTTTCAGTGTTGTTGTTGTTGTTGTTTTTTTTGTGGATGAAGCCACAATAGATCCAATCAGTCTTTTCTTTCATGGTGTTTTTACATGAATCACCAGGTCAAAGATCCTTCAACTGTAACGTTTCCTGAGCACTTTAAGGACTTCTTATCCGCAACGTCACAAAAATTGACTCTAAAACAATCAATCTGTAAATAATACGCTAAATTCAATCTCTACTTTTAAGCTAAATTGGGCAAAACATCCTTCCTGACAACTGTGCTAAACCCATCTGCTGAGAGAGATCATGTTTGTTATCTTCGAGTTTTTATCTACGAGAGCGACTTAATGAGCCGGTTTCTTTTTCTATTGTATGTCAAGTGTTGGTAGGAAAAAAAAAACAACGCAACAGGCTTTTAAATGAACACCTTGGTGTTATCAATACAGTGCACGAATAAAGCCTTATTTTTAACTCCTATGCCCTTTCCTCCACTCTGTTACATTGAGTGCATGAAAACAAACACTGGGTGTGGGTAAGTAGAGGAAAGTGCCAGTGGTGTTGGATCTAACTGGGGTGAGGACCGGTGGTTCGAGGGCGACCAGTGAGGCTTCGCCCTCAGGTACAGCGCTACTCTTGCAACATTTTAATATCCACTTCATGAAAGGTGACTTTAGCGTTCAAAATCTTGAAAAGGAGAGAAGAAAATCGCCTCGTACTGTAAATACTGCTGCGAGTTTGGAGCCCTGATGTTGCTTCATGTGAACAGTCGGACTCGTTGGTCTTTGGCCTGAGAAAACACCAGCAAATATTTCATCTTCAAAGGCTGCCAAACTGCACCCCACCGAGCATAATTCAATGCTATTCTTGTGAGGAATGTCCAAATAAAACAATGCGGCAGCAGCGAATAAACTGTACACAGGACGCTGAATATGACATGACATGCCCTCAAACGATATAGGGAGGAACTCCACCGGGCACCTCAGGTTCGCTTCAAAGCTAAACAGGAACAAGTATTCAAACACTGTGTGCTCGGGCTAAACACATAAATGACCTACTTGTACCTTCATATTAAAAACAAGTCATTTTCATATGTTTTCCTTTATAAGAAAGTTTATATTTGAGAATTTGGGAACTATGACCGGCGTGAACTTTCAAACCCGTAGCACCGCAATTAAATGTCACTAATTTTAACCTACCAAAATAACGACACACAAAGTCATCAAGTTTGGTACAAAAATATTCTATATGGTTTATAGTAAATTAATATCAACCATGGTTGATTACCCATAATCAATCACTTCTGAATGTTAATAACGCTGCATCTTCTTAGTTTTTAAGGCTACAGACGACAAATCCTTAAAATGTGAAAATCACGCAAACCTGAACTCCATTGTTCATTCCTCACTTTCTGTGAATATCCCTAATGGGCCCAGACCCTGATGCCATGTTCCCGCGTTCTCTTCGACCCATCGAGAGCGAAGGCGTCGATAACGAGCTCTGATCAATCATCTTACCTGGAAGTAAAGGCCAACGGTCGATCGTGCCATCAGGTTGTTGAAATGCTCGTGGAAATCCCTGCTGAGGATGTCCTGAGACAGGGTCTCGTAGGGGTCGAATGCCTGCTCCTACACACACACACACACACACACACACACACACACAATAGTCTGAGTTAATATTGACATGCTGAACTGTACAAGGAATCAGATAATTAACTTATAATTTACAGTAACTGTCGCCTTCTTTAACAGGTTCTTACACTTACTGGTTTTATGAAAAATGATTTACCGTATAACGTTTATCGTGAGTGTTTTGGTTAATAATTATGGATGATGTATACAAGGAGCGGTTTGGTAACAGAGTGCATATTTAGTACGGGTTTAGAAGCCAATCAAAGAAATACTGAAATAGTAAAGTGTTCAAAAGGTAATAAAAAGGGATAATAAATATTATTTGTCTTTTTAAAAGTGCACAGTTGACATTGTTGATTGATTGATTGATTGATTGAACAGGTTTTAGGAATCATACAGACGGTCTACCTTTCCGAACTCAACTCATGAGTTTTTTTACAATCTCAAACTAACTTTCAACTTGTGGAAAACACTGCGAGTAAACAAGCACCTGTGTAATTATTTACATCCTTTATAAACATTTCTCAGCGTTACTAACGCTAAAACAAATCGTGTGACTTTTTACACACTTGGCTTCATATTCAGATTAGCAGGGGGGGGGGCAGATAAATTTGGCAGCAGATGTCTGGGAACTGGTGAATGTTATGTTTTTTTTTAGAGGTAAATGATGCGTACCTCTGCTAGATCCTCAAAGCAGCTGCCCACCAGCGGATGAGGACTGCCATCAGCCGTCATCTCCACTGCGTCCTCGATCAGTCCGAGCAGCTTCACCGTCAGCTCGTGGATGTCCAGGATGTTACTGAATATCACCTCCACGTCCTGCAACAAGGGGCGACATGACGTTAGAGATGAGGGGTTTGGACACAAGAGGGTTGCTGAGTCTGAATCCTGTAGTAGGGAGAGGGATCGATTAGCCTATTTAGCAACTTCAGTTTCGATGAGGAGGAAAAATGTGTTGAATGAAAACGAGAATATCTCTGGTTCTGCTGCTTCTATTATAAAAACTGTCAATAACTAAATATTCTAAGAGTCAAACGCCAAATTGATGCTCAACCTGTTCACTGATTAGAGACTGAAGACTTATTGTGTCCTGGATGTGAAAGAAAACGTTCCCATGCACACAAGAAACTGGGCAGCTGGAAAAAATTAGGTGATGGCACGAACACTGCATTAACATAACACTGCAATAAAATGATGATTTTAAACTGTGTTTACATGCGGCTGGTCGCTGATCAGAGTTTTCTCTCTAAGTTACATAAGAAACACCAGCTGTGAAAACTGACTTTTTTTTTTCTTCTTTCTTTTTTTTCTACATTTTCTGCTTGAGTTTTAGTTTCAGTTTTAGTCGCAACTCTGGGTTTAATTATTTTGGATGCAAAAATGCACAACTATGATTGAGGATCTTTCCTTTCATCCGACCACACTCCTGCCACAGAAATACATTTCCTGTCCAAAGTCTTATTCAAGCACATTCATGCTCATAAAAATCCTTTTAGAAACTTGGTTCCGCATCTACACGACCAAATATGTAGTCTCCCATGTTTCTCTTAATCTGTCAGACCAGGAGCGACAGGGAGTGACGGGAGGCAAAGACACTGCAGGAGGTGACAGAGACAGGTGCATGCAGCTGCTCCAACAGCAACGGGGAGTCAGATATTGCGGTTATCAACGCAGTCAGCAGTGTGAGCACATGGAGGCAATTAAGGTACTTGAAACCCCCGTCAAAATGAATCGTCCCAGTCAGTCAGTCAAATCTGACCACACAGACGTGATACACAAATCTCTAGATTCAGTGTGACTCACACTTCAGGGATGCAATTATCTCCAGTGTAAATAAACATAGACGCTGGAGATGATGATCGGCAGATCCACTTAGAGATCATTAAAAAATAAAAGATGTGTGCATTGCAAACAGGGACGTCTAATAGTTAATTTCCCATATTTTTTTTAATGGTGCCAGTTTGCCAAAATGCAAAAGTAAATTTTCGAAATTTGTCTGAGGAAGTGAAACTGTTAAAAGACAAAAGAAACAAAGTGCCAAGCAGTCCCTTTCTCACTCCACCTCCCTTGGCTAAATCAACGCTAAAAACAGCGGTGAGAATCAACTCTAAACAACAACAACAACAACAAGGCTCAGTTCGCCGGAGGAAATCATTAGTCAAGCAGATGAGAACCCTGAAATAGCACAGTAGTGATTATTGACTGCTAAAGTCTGAATAGAAGTTCAATCCTGTCATTATTTGACCGTAACACTGTCTTGACATCTCGGAGTAATTTCAGATGATGCTGTGTTTCAACAGACATAATTGAGGTTATTTTGGCGAAGGCTGCAGATGTTGTTCCTGTCTCAACATAATTACATGTTCTGCATTCCACCAAGCCTCACAAAGGTTTATCCTCTTCACCCAAATGATACCGCAAATTACCCAACCCAAAATATGCAAAGCCACAGCGACCCATTAAACTCAACTTTCCATTCACTTCTTCTTAACCCAGAGACCCACTGTTTAACTCCCTGCTCTTAGCCATACTTCTCCTTTCTTTTTCTTTTTTTTTTCCTTTAGGGGATTTAGAGTTCTTAATTGCTATATTAGACATGGTGTAATTAGTAACTGGTGTCCTTGGTTAGCCCTCTGAGACAGATATGAATGCCAGTTTATTGTTTACTAGGTCAGAGAGCATGGGTACCGCCTCAGGAGATGCAGCAAAATAGTTTGGAGCCTCGTCGTCAGGCTCGGACACATCGGCTCCTCCGAGAAGCTTCTTGGATACAGGACGATTGTTCCGACCGTCGAGTCATCCATCAGAAAAAGACAACTGTCTCTAATCACGCATGATTTGAAAGTAAAGAGTTGGCATTGGTTCTGTTCCGCTCCACGAGGCTGATTACCAGTTAGCCGATTACAGACTTTCAGTTGTAATCTTTAAATGTTCTTATGCTGGATTTGGCTGAAATGGCTTTGTAATTAAGTTTACAGTCAGAAACCTGACTGTTTGTTTATAAGGCAGCTTTAGTGTGAGCTGGCTGCAGCTCCTGTATTCAGCACAAGAGTTTGGAGTTTTCATCAGTGCCGGCAACTGTTGGGAATCCATTTTTTATTCACATAATAACTTTGTGGAGCAGCCATTATTTTACACTCGGTTTAAGACGCATCGGCTACAGTTTCTTATGTAGTACACCAGTCTTACTATAAGGCTCGTGAAGCAGTGCTGAGTTGCATCTATAAAAGTGTGAAACATAATTCCTGAACTCCTTCGTCAAAGAAGCGACAACGGCACATTTTGTCCTCAAGACGTTTCTTATAGACAAGATGTATTCCCAACAAGAAATCTGTTTTTAAGATTAATTCTATTATTTTATATTCATGTTCTATGTGAGCCAGTGTCTCTTAGCAGGATGGAAAGAAATTGTGTGAAAACAGGATCCTAATGATCAGTTTAGTCTGTATTCCATGTTTACATGAGTGACAGGTGTGAAATAAACAATCCTGAGGTTTTGACAGCTTTTTAATTAACAGCACAGGCTTTCCCCACCTGAGGCGTGAAGATTTTGGGGTTGGACAGGAAGTGATGGCGGAACACTTTGATGATGAGGTCGAGCTCTCGGAGGTACTGCCGCTCCTCTGCGATTTCAAGCCTCACCAGGTCGTCGTACGTGAGCTCCCCGGAGGACGACGGCTCCTCTGTGCACTGAGACATCAGGCCGATGTCTTCCTCCTGGTCGAACATGTCCATCAACACCTGGACACAAAATAATTATCAGTCAAGAGACAATCGAAAAAAAAAGCAACTCTCGTCCCTCGCGATGTCCGACAGCTTCAGTTTCTCACCTTGTCTGCGCACATGGACACCTTGATGTCCTGTTGGTTGATTTCATAGTGCCGAATGTTGCCGACATAGTTTCCCGCCAGTTTCAGGATGTCTGCTGATATGTATTCAAGCACTGCCACGATGTACAGGGAAACATGGTAGTCCACTTTGTAACCCAAAACCTCCTGCAGCAGGATAAAAACATAGTAAATATTAAACCAGTTCCAAACAGCAGTTCAAACTTCTGGTGTCTGAACCCGCATGAAGGACCAGATCAGTTCAGGCTAATTCAATTAGTCTGAACCGAGCTGTCAAAACAGTGTGTTAAATTAGATTACAAATATTTCCCAGCAACTGGGAAAACTTTCTGGCATTCGCATCGGAGTTGATTATGTCGTATAAGAATGTGAATACAGCTGCCGTCCAGCGCTGCTACCACTGGTGGTCTCTCCACGAGTCTCTACCTTAAGCAGTGGGTGTATCTTGTCCACAGGGAGAAGCAAGGGGTTTCTCCTCTTCCGTTTCTCGATAGCTGACTGGGCGTCGGCGATCGCCCACTTGTCGATGGGGTGGGGAAAAGTTTTCTGGACGCGTTCCTGGTAAGAAGGGACAGGGGACATTTATCTTTCTCTTAACACTTGATAAACTTGGGAACATTAATTGGCTGCATCGCACAAAAGGAATCAGTTATGTGGGATGCTGTTGCATTGCACAGCAAGTATAACATGTATCGTATTGTTGTATTATAAAGTGTATTGCACCGGTGTATTTTTTTTCCTCAGTTTCTTGCTGTTCGTTCATATTTAAATGTTGCGTAGTGCAGGGACACTATGAAGAGAGAGAAGAGGCCTTACCTCTACATCCTGCACAGAGCGAGGCTGGGCCACACACAGCATGTTGAGCAGCTGCAGGATCAGCTCCTCGATGTGCTGCAGGGCGTCCTCCTTCGCCGTGAGATTCGGGTGGACCTGCTTCTGTACCTGAACGTCACACACAAACACAGGACGAGGAAAATCTGGTCAAAAGACAATTCAGTAAAGACTTGCAGAAGAAAAGAGAAGAAAAGACTCTCTCTTGCCCCGGTCACATGATGTCAACTGAAACTGTGTCATATGTGAAACTGATTGTTACACCTGGTATGATCGGGTCACATTTACTGTCATTTACAAACACTTCTCATCTTTCATTTGTCACTGTGAATATTTAGTTGCTTTTGTCAGTTTTACATCATAATCATCATTATTATTATAGTAATAGATTTAATACAGAAGGGACTTAATTAACATCTTTCTTGCTGCTTTCAAGGACACGAATACATCTGAGAGTCAAAGAGTCAAACATCCACCTTTGAAAAGACAGTGAAATAACAAGTTGTTATAGTCCTGTGTCTCTGTTATAGATTATGACTTATCCTATACAAACATTGATCCAATCAAGTATGATGCGGGCCGACGAGCCGACACCCCTGTCGTTTAAAACTGCTCTCGAACCATTAGCTTGCAGTTTGATGTCGCTAGCAGAGCGATATCATGGCAGGAGGAGCGTGTTTGGATTTCAGCTGGCAAAACCCTTGTTTATATTTCCAAAGAATGCGGCTGAGGTTTACTTTATTCATTTCTCCCCCCTGCCTCCTCCTCCTGATCCAACACTGCAGGTGAGGGCGGCGTGGTGGAGGCGGAGGCCAACAGCCCTCTGCAGCTCCATATCCTGCTATAATCACCAAACTAACGAACAAAATTCACACTGTAACCTCTGGATTTGATTTTGTGAAAAATTTGTGAATGCGACACTTTTTGGCGGCAAACTCGGAAGTCTCTTGGATGTTAGTGTGTCCTCGAATGCACCACCAAAACTCCCTCCCCCTGCTAACGCTGAAAATAAAATCAAACAAAATAAAATCATTTGAAACCAAAAAAATATTCACTATGAAAGATGACATCCCTCAAGCGAGTTTCAAGCCTGGATTTTCATTACACACTAAAATTAAAATGGACAAAAATGTCCAAAAACACATGAAACCTCAGAGATACGGTACAAAAAAATCCACCACAAAAATCCTGTAAAGTCACAACAGATAAATCAACTCTCCATCAAGGCTTTTTTTTTTTTTTTAGCCTGAAATTAAAAAAAGCTGCAACAAACAATAAACCTGTCAACAACTGTAATCTCCAGAAAAAACAAACCAAAAAAAAAACCAAACAAAAACAAAATACAAAGCATGCAAGTTTGCTCAGCAGTGGGAACCAGCCTGACAGAAGGTGTGGTTTTAGGTGCAGACAGCAGAGAAGGTGTGGCTTCATCAGGTCTACATCTACAAGTGGAAAGAGAGAACACCGCCCCCCCCCCCAAAAAAAAAACCTCCCTCCAGCCTCCCGAAAGTTGTCGTCATTTTGGGCCGTGCCCTCTTGCAGGAATGCTGTCAGTTGAGATACTATTATAGCACCCAAGGAAGACTCAGAGGGAGAGAGAGAGAGAGAGAAGGAGAGGTGGATAGAAAAGAGAGCCCTCACATTTACTTTCCACTCACAAAAGCATGGCCTGTTCACATGCTAGTGATGGAATTACCCTGGCATATAGTAAAGAGGGGCGTTATGATGACAAAACATTGCCCCCGGATTAAGGAATGTGAGAGGAGAGTTAAAAGGTCAACGCAGACCGGGCTTCATGCATTCTTGTGCTCTGACTTAACAGAGATGCAGCGACGGGCAGGATGTCCCCCTCTATCTCAAGCTTGACTTCATCTGCTGGAGATAAAATACTGAATCAAAGAAAAACAGAGGAAGCAGAGAAGTCAAGGGATCATAAAAAAAAAAAAAAAGGATCTCTTTCCTGGATCTGTTTTGGATTCACGTTCTGACACATTAACAGCATTCAGATGCTTTTTAAAACAAGAGAAGCTGGAAAATCTGAAGCCACAACTTGGCCTCATTCACGCTTCTGTACGTCATTTCTGTTTTGATGCACACTCACAAGACCGAACAGTTATAAATAAGCCGCAAGTTTAAACTGTACTTGGAAAAAAAATATATATCAAAGCAGAAGCAGGTTATGAGATATATCCTCTTGACCGCAAATAGGCACTTGACCAAATTCCACAGGACACCAGGAGCTGTGAGTCACCACGCTGAAACTACGGGGGTTTCCCCTGACTCCATTCACAGAATAGTTGGCCCGTTTCTGAGAGGCCCACATCCAACAAGTGTCGTCTATCTCCAACAATGTCAGGATGGGAGACAGAGCAACAAAAATACACAAAATTGAATGTCATTTGAATAAAGACATAATAGAAAGTGAATTCCAATACATTGCATGTAACCGTGGGTACAATGCTAAAAAAAAAAGGGGAGGCAACGAAAAGAGCTGCTGCCGAAGCTGCTGGATCCGTCTGTTGTTCGACCACACAAACAGATCTGTATTGTGCTGCTGAAACAATTAGTCGGTTAATGGAAATTTAATTTGCAATAAATATGATAATCAATTGATGGTTTAAGTAAAAATGCTCAAAAAGATTCAGAGCTTCTAAAATGTGAATGTTTCAGTTTTTCTTTTTTGATTTGTACGATAAACTGAGCATCTAAGGTTTTTTATTATGATTAATCTGCGTCTATGTAATTTTGATAAATTAACTAATTGTTAAAATAATTATTCTTATAGTAAAACTACCAAAAATGAATTGCTTCCAGCTTCTCAAACTTGAATATTTTGTGGTTTCCTTAGTCTCCAATAATAGGAAACTGAACATCTTCACGATTTGAATCATCACAATTTTTACAGCTACTTACTCATTTAAGTCTTTTTTTGTAAAAGTGACAAAGACTCAGTCGTTCCACTTCCTCAAATGTGAATATTTGGGGATTTTCTTAATCTTCTATAATAATAAACTGAATTCATCTGATTCATCTTTTGACAATATTAATAATAAGTAAATGTTTATTTATTTTATAAAAATGCTAAAAAATTCAGCTTCTAAAATGTTTTTTATTTTTGGGTTATGGACAGTTGGTCTGACACAAACACGACATGTAAATACATCATGTTGGACTCCAGGAAACTTTCTTATAGATCAAAATATTTATCTAAATCATTAGGAAACTATTCAATCACAAACATCATAATCATTCAAACATAATTAGCAGCAGCTCACATGTTTTAACGTAAATCAGTTGGTGAAAAGAAAGGAGAAATCATTTTGACCATCACAGTCTTTGGTTTGAAGTTGTGCACCCAGTGAATCTGTCAGGTGAGAGCAGAGCAGGGCCGTGTGCAGGTAAGACTGCAGCCCGGGGTGTGTTTACAGTGCCGCTGTAACCTGACGCTAGTGGGTGATGAAAGTAACGTGGTTTGATATAGTTTGGCAGCGGACACCAAAGTTAATTCAAGCAAAGTGAAAGCAATCGAGTGGAAAAATAACAGGGGAACTCCTGAATGTGAAAAGTCCTCACTGGGTTTCTCGTGGTAGGAAAAACACCTTTTCAAATGACAACATCCTCCGTCACCAGCTGCAACAGTTTCACCAGGGAACGGAGTGAATGTCAAAATGATCACCCATTATGGCTGGAAAAAATAGCCAGCAATGTTTATAAAAATTAGTTAATTATTCAATCTGTCAAGGAACAACAAATTAAAAGACAACTTTTATAATTCAGAAAATGTTTACATCATTTATCAAGGAAAAACTCCTCAAATCAGAGTTTCCTCTACTCTTCTGTTCATCGCTGTAAACACGTTGGTTTAAATGGATAAACTCTTCTATGACAATTATCCCTGCGACAGACGAGCTTCTGTTAAAGACGGCCCTCACAGTGTTCAGCGCCCAAGGTAAAGTCTCCGGTCCGCTCGGTTGTCCAGCCAACCAGCCATCCACAACCACCAGAACTCTCGTTTACTATCGCAGACGACTCAGATCGCCAGCAGAGACTCGCAGCTGAGGAGCTGTGAACTGTTGCGCTGGAGAAAAATAACACAACTTACTGAAGGTTTATTAAAACTGCTGCCGATAGAATTTCTGTCGATCAACTAACTGTTTCAACTCTGATTACAATATAGGTAATTTCATATCACAATATCAATAAATATCATCACATATCACCATTTCCTGGAAGATCAATTGAAAAACTGTTGACGAATAAATAAACAAATACACGAAAAATCATGTAAAAATCCAATGTTGTCATTAAGCGATTTGTTTATTTGCTGATCGACAGAAAAGTAATCACCAAGTACTTTTGATCATTGATTAATTGTTTTGCTCATTTTTCAAGCTAAATTCCCAAATAATTGCTGATTCTTAAAATGTGAAGATTTGCTGCTTTTCTCTTTTTTATATAATTGTGAATTTATTATCACATATTTAATTTCTTTCTGATATTTTACAGAAAAACAAAAAATAACATCCAATCTATTACTTGAGAAAATAATATGCAGATTAGTCAATAATGGAAATAATCATTATTTGCAGCCATAAACTGGACAGAATCTCTCATATTAGACACATTTACATAAATTGTCTCAAGGTATTTATTGTCAGTATTGTAGTATCTTTAAATTTTTTGGACTGTTCATCAGACGAAACTATTTTCAGATGTCACCTTGGAGTATGGGAACTTGTGACATTTCATTTAAAAAACAAAACATAAAAACAACTGGCTGATTAATCAAGAAAATATTCGGGAGACAAATGGATAATGAAAACAATACTTAGTTGATTTCCCACCTCTAGCACATGTTAGCTTTCATGCACATCCTCCTGTCCCATGTGAAGGGGTTCAGTTTCATGGGTCAGCTCCATTAAGAAGGGAAAGGCTAGCGTACAGGAAGTCCCAGCGCTCGCTCACTCTCACTTTTCCCTCCTCCGCCTGCCCCCCCCACCCGCCGTTCTCTACCGACAGAGCGAAGCCCCCCGGGGAGAGAAGATCATAGCAGCAGACTGAGAGGTATTGATGTGCGTGTATGAGGAGGCAACAGCAGCAGGCTCGTACTA